CCCCAAAACCCCAAAACCCCAAAACCCCGTGATTACTTGAATTTCTAGACAGATTGTGTTCATCAATCAATTTATAAATTTGAAAATAATAATGGTAGATAAGCAACTCAAGTAAATTACTTTTTTTGTCAATTATATTAACAGAATTTCCTAGCCTAATAAGTGCCCTTTGAGAGTAAAGCAAAAGTTAGCAATCACAGATTGTGTCGGAGGAGCTCTGGCTATTTAATTTGACCAAGATGATAAATTTATAGCAGCAGGTATTTATGCTTGATGAATTTCATTCTTATTTAGGGTGTGGTGATGGTACTATTAAGATTTACAATGCTTTCACTTCGAAACTAATGTATCAAATGGGAAGCAATCATAATCATGGAGACGGAATGCCCATCACGAGTATTAGATGGAGACCAAATTCTTCAAGCGAATCTGGAGCTAAATCATCAAATGTTATTGTTTCCATTACTTCAGACGGTTTAATTCAGCATTGGGCAGTCAATTCAAGTAAATGCTTACACTCCTTTAAGGATGAACCTGATAATAACCTGTATGCCTTAGACTTTGCCCCTGATGGGAAAATGTTTGCTACTGCAGGTTAGGATACAAGAGTCTATGTTTATGACGAGCAAACGAGACAAAGATTGCTTGATATGAAAATTGGAGGTAAAAACCTTCCAGGTCATTCTAGCAGGGTGTTCTCTGTCAAATTTAATCCCCAAGAACCAAATATGATTATTAGTGGAGGTTGGGATAGAACAATTTAGATCTATGATATAAGAGAAGGAAGGACTGTAGGTAGTATTTATGGGCCTTAAATAAGTGGAGATGCCCTTGACATATACGATGATATGATCATTGCAGGATGTAACAGAAATAAAGACATCGTTCAGATGTTTAGTTTATCTAAAAAGTAGTTGATATACAACATTGATTGGGAATCATCTTCCAGAAAAGACATTGAGTCGGGTTATTTATATGGAGCCAAATTCTCAAGGCCTCATCCTAACTATATAGTAGCTGGCGGTGCAGGTAAGAATGAAGTCAAAGTGTTTGAAAATAATGCTGATGGGTCTGCTTCTTTCAGAATTTTAAGCTCTATACATGAACTTGAAGCTCCTTGCTTAGCTATAGATACTTCTAAAGCAGGGGATAACTTTGCATTTTCATGTTAAGATGGAAGGATATACATTTGTAATTATAAGCTAGAGGAGGGTTACGATTTTGAGGGTTATTAAGGAGGTCATTTCAAAGAGGTTTCTCACTAGAAAAAGAGAAATATGAGCGATGTTAATGATGAGGAGGAGGAAAGGAAAGAGTAATGAAGTCTCAATTGAAAACCTCACTTAATAAAGATTCGTTTTATTATTTTTATTAATAGCCTAGATATATTTAAATAACATTAAAAACCTCTAAACAGTCATTTAGACTAACTCTAAATCAAATGGGGTTTTGGGGTTTTGGGGAGATCGGAAGAGCACACGTCTGA